GTATCAATTAAAGCAGAGCTAATTATTGCTACTATTATTTGCATTGCAGTAGTTCCCAGAGGCTTTTAATGGGATTATAGCCTTCTGGCACGAGGAGTTCTTAGGAACATGAGCTCGTATCTGGAAGTTCGTCCATGGCTGCTGACATTTGGTACCTGTGCACAAGGTTCAGTGGGAATCCACAGAGCACCGTGCTTTGCTCACAGGTATGGGTCACAGGAATCAGAGCCACACGAGTTCCCTGTGGTGCCCTGAGGTTTGCCTACAGTCACCACGTGTCCTCCTGCTCTTCTACAGCCTGGCCTGTGTCCAGAGAAAGCAAGCTCTTCCCAAAGCTCAGCATTTGGGCAAGGCCAACAATGCTGTACATTGGCTCCTTGTCAGGGAGTCTTGGGAAACACTCCTAACCTTTATTTATTCTGATGTGTTTATCATGGGGTACACCACTCCCTTTACCTAAGAATGGGGGATCTTAGAATTATCCACTATATTGAGTCATTCTTGAAAGGAAGGACTGCCTTACATTTGTCAGCTTCACCCTGATTCACGTGCTGTCCCTGACACCAGATGGGATTCTGATGAAATGAAACAAAGCTTGGTAAGATTTCAAGCATCCAGACTGAATAAAACCTAGAAATAAACCACTGTAAAACATTTAATACTTGGATTTCCTTGGTGTTTCTTGATTTCTTTTCACTAGATTCCTAAAATATATTGCAAATACTGGGGTCTAGAGCACTACCCAGGCTTCTGAGTGCTGCTCTTTGTTCAGAACCCAAAGTACAGCCCAAAGCTCCCTGCGGCCAGTTGGAGCTTGTAAAAATTTATACATTTTACACTACAACAATGTATGTGTTCTACTGAGATTTTGATCTGTAGTGATTGACCAGCTTTCTCGGGACTCCCCACGTGACACATCAATAACACACTTCACATGTTGCTTGTTGAAGCCATTTCTCAACTCACGAGCTCTCCTGTTCTCCACCCTTGCAGCTGCTTAGGGGGTCCCAGGGTCATATAGCTCCGAAAAAATTACAGTTGAAATAAGATGCATCAAATGGGTTGCAGACTACAAGGCAGATAAGCTGCAACAAGGGGATGAATATATAACAAAAATGCAGGAGGAAACAGAAAGAAAAATTATAGTGAAACCAAAATTTGATACACATGAACACTGAATCTACTGTTAGTCATGGGGCTGTAACATATTCAGAAATGTTTCTGTTCAAAGTTTATCACCGGTGTTTTTCATATACTTTGTTTTAATCCCCATACTGCTCTCTTTCCTTAAATAAGACATTTATTAGTTTTAAGTCTTTGCAATTTCCTAATCTGCCTCCCCCTTCCAGGGGACTGGCTCAAAAGGAAAGCACCTTTCACCTGTGTCTCTCTTTCAAGAGGTACTGCTGCCTCCTATGATTGCTCTCACTGCCAACAGGTCATAGATCAGGCCCAGCAGCACCTACAAGAGTGCAAATTTCCTTTTGCACCCCTCATTTGTACACTTTAAACCCAGAATTTCCTGTCAGGCGTGACAGAACATTTGCTGCATCACAGGATGTTACTGAAATAACCCAAGAACTGTTTAGTATGTGGTTTGGAGGACTTCACCCAAAGACAGGTTTAACTTTGGATGGAAGATGGTGCCTCAGAGTGAGGTGTCACTGAGAGGTTCAGCACAAGGAGGTTATGAGACTGGATCACCCATCTGGGCCAGCCTGCCACACTGTGAAAACTCAGTCTGGTTTTGTCAGACTAGAAAGCAAGTTCACCAAGAGGTAACTGTGGTTCAAAAGCAAGTCAAAAGTATATTATTGTCAATGGAATTAGGAACCATTTGCTGTTGATAACACTGTTCTAAACACCCTCATATTAATTTCTAGTGTTTCATGGAATTAGACTTGGAAGGTTGCTGTATGGGATTTCTGACTGATTTTTAACCATTCAGGTATGCAAAAATAAATAATGATTTAAATATAAAAAATATTAAAAAAAAGATTGTGCCTGCTCCAAAAATAAGTTACGCATTATCTTGCAAAGGAAATGTTAACATCCAAATCCACTGTAAATGAAACTGATAATGACTACTACTGTGAAAATAGGTTAATGGAGAGAAGTTAGGACACAATTTTTATGGAAAGATTTAAAGGAAGAAATCTGAGGGAGGAAATACAAAGCAACCTGCTCCAGTAAAGCAGTGAGTGCAGAACCAGGATTACTGGATCTTGAGTTCTCTCTCTGTCATTTACTTAATCCCCTTGCAAGACAATCTGTTGCATTACTGACTGCAACAGGATTTGCTTGGTAAAGATGCACAGGCAAATATTTATGCAGAACTTCCAAAAGTATTTTTTAAACTGATGATGATTAGTTCACATAAAGTAATTTTAATTCATGGGTTCCAGAAGCTGTAGGTTAACTTTCTGAAAAGACACGAGCACATTTGCATTTTATAGCATGGCGTAGGTAGTACAGAGAAAAAGTTGGAGTTTTTTATACAGAATCCATAGCAAGTACAGTTCCTGGAATTTGAAAATTCATAAAAAATTCTGAGTGAAGGTGAGTAGAGTCACCATATCTGCCTCTGTCATCATTTAGGTCCCTGTTCCATACTTGCTGAAGTTTGGACACCTGCGATTGACCAATTTTTTTGTACCAGAGCTGTGCAAAGTGGCTAAAGTGTCTATATATTAACAAAATAATAGTTAAGTGTCCTGTTATTCCTCCTTAACATTGAACTGTTCTGTTAAGAAATTGGTAAATTGGTTTCTGTTTGGACTGTCAGTCAAAAAAATTTGTTATTAAAATGAGCAAAACTATAGAGCATAAAATATCCATAAAATGCACTTCTACATATCTGAATTCCACAGAGATGCCCATTGTGAACACTGTTTATGTTTAACAATTTCCCAGCGCCAAACAAAGGGATAGAGAGAATTTTGACAAGAGAGCTGTGAATTGTAAAAGGCTGCAGCTGAGCCTGGCTGTGTCTTTAAAAGGCACAGCCTTTAAAGAGTCCAGGAAACTCCTTCCCTTGCCAGGAAACCCTTTTGTATTGCAAACCAGCTTCAGGAGAGAAAGATCAATACCGAGGAACAATTGGTGAACTCCTGGCCCCCCACTGAAATCATCATGGGGTTTTACCGTTGATAGCTGCAGTATTCACATATCGCCCTACATCAGGCAATCAGAGCTGGACTGATGGACTACACATTCAATTATCAGCAAGCATCACCTACCAACAGCCTGTTTTCCAAATTACAGACAGAATTCGGCTGAGTTTGTAGGAATACATAAAGAATAAACCTCTAGCTGTATGGCTGTGAAGAAAAACCTGAAAAATGAGATCAAATGCAATGTAGAGACAAGTCTGCAGGGAACACAGAACAAAGTGACATGAGAACTTCCTTATTCTCATAGCGAGGTTTTAATCAGATAAGGCTGATAATTTAAATACTAACATTGTTAATTATTTCCATAAGGACTTGTCCACTTGGGAAAGTTTTGCCATTTAGTTGAACTAGTCTTGTTATAGTAGGCTCCATTAAACTGTTTCGGATCAGATTTGGTTTCCTTACAAGTAGTATAACCTAGAAGTTTGTTTTATATCATGGCATAAATTTGTATTGCATTTAACCTGGCCTCTGCAGAAGTCTGGATTCCGCTGTTAAAGCTTGGAGAAGTCAGGAAGGAAACTCAAAAGGAAAACTTTTTGGTAATTACTTTTCTGTGGATCAGTGATCCAAACTGATATACTTAGCAGCCACACCGTGTCCTTTGAAAAGGAGCGGGGAACAAGTAGCCAAGCAGCCAGGAGGGAAGTGCTTAGAGTGCCAGCAGGAAAGGATTCACAGCCTGCAGTTAACTAAACCGAGCATGCTGTAACACTGAACCCATAAAGAGAAAATTCGGGTGAGGTTTGAGTGGAAAAGCAAGAACCACATGGTCTGAACCTCTTTAGGTCAATTTATACATGGCTTAACTTCCCTGTGTGCTCAAGCCTTGAAAGATGGGGGGCCACAGATTCAACGCACCTTCACCCATCCCCTTCACGGTGTATTTAATTCATTAACTCATGAGATTCTTTTGTCACCCAACAGGCAGCTTAACTTGGTGCTTCAAGCTGGACCTGTGACTCCTGGAGCCTCAATACAGTCCCGTGTGTCCAGTTCTGGGACCCTTCATTCAGAAAGGACATTTTGGGGGCTGGAGCAGGTCCACAGAAAGGCAGCGGAGCTGGGGAAGGGTCTGGAGCACAAGACTGATGAGGAGGAGCTGAGGGAGCTGCGGGTGTTCAGCCTGGACAAAAAGAGACTCAGGGGAGACCTTATACTCTCTACAGCCCCCCCTACAAGGAAGCTGTAGCCAGCAGGCAGTCGGGCTCATCTCTAAAGCAATCTGCGACAGAACAAGAAGAGTCTTAAATTGCAGCAGGGGAAGTTTAGGTCGGACAAAACGTGCGATTAGAGATTGAAACGGGCTGTCCAGGGTGGTGGAGGAGTCACCGTTCCTGGAAGCACTTAAGGGAAGACTGGACGTGGCACTCAGTGCCGTGGTGTAATTGGTATGCTGGTGTTCGTCTCGGGTTGGACTCGATGATCTCAGAGCTCTTTCCCAACCAAACCGACTCTGTGCTTCAATGTGAGCCGCGCATTTCAGAGGTGGTACGAGGAGTCACCCATATCTGCAAGAGATATCCACAAGCCCCACTCAGGGAGTCTCCCATTCCCGCTGTTTGTCCGGGCCAGGGACACCTGCTCGGAAGCTCGGCCGCTCCTCCCGCAGCCCGGACAGTGAACGCTGCCCGTGCCGTGCCCCGCCCCGGCCCGGCCCGGCCGCCATTCCGCCCTCACGGCACCCCCGCGCACGCGCGCCTCCCGCCGCGCACGCGCACCGCCCTCCCGCCCCGCGCACGCGCGGGCAGCGCCGGCGTGACCAACCAGCGGCGCGCGCCGCCCGCCCGCCCCCGCCGCGGAGGCGGGGCCGAGGTCCGCCGCCGGCCCAGGATGCAGCGCGGCGGCGACGTCGGTGGCGGCCGCCATGTTGTGCTAGTTTGTTGTTCTCCGGCGGCGGGAGCGGGGCCCGCCGGGCGCTGAATCCGAGCCCTTCCCGGCCCGTTGCCCGTGTCCTTCGCCGCGGCACCGGCACCCGCCGCTCCGGCGGGCGGCACCGCGGCGCTGCCGCGACCCGCCGCCTGGGCCGGGCGAAGAGCCATGGCTGCCGCGCTGGGAGGAGGCGCAGGTGGGTGCTCGGGGGCCGCGCCCGGGGAAGCGGGGCCTGCCCGGGGCGGAGGCGCCACCGCTGCTGCGGGCCTGGCCGGGACCGGCGCGGCCCGTGTGGTCGGGGCTGGGGGAGCGCGGATCGAGGGGATCAGGAGCTGCCCTGGCGCTGCAGATTCCCGGGAGCGCCTCTCCGGGTCCCGGGAGTCGGCGTCGTGCGGCCATGGGAGGTGTTGTGGCCCCTCGGCCGGGGCAGGGCCCGGAGGGACAGCGGCCTCGGCGCGGGTGGGGGGCCTTCGGGGGCATGGGTGTGTTTTATTGAAAGACATTCACAGAATCACAAGATCGCTTAGGTTGGAAAACATCTCTGAGACCATCCAGTCCAACCTATCACCGAACACCACCGTATCAACTAAAACGTGATACTAAGTGCCACGTGCAGTCTTTCCTTAAACACCTCTAGGATGGTGGGTATTTTTTTACATAGTTTTTACAGGCACACGTGTGTGACTTGAGTAACACGTGTCTAATGTGCGGTGTAGTTATAATTTATTTCATAGACTGTTCAGAAGTAGATCTCGCTTGAAAAGTGTGAAAATAAAGTCAGTGCTTTACTCCAAGACTCTCAGATGTTCGTTCCACTGTGCTTCTGCATGACTACGGGCACCTCGACACGCGGCATTTTACTAGCTCAAAACCCTCTGTGGTTTTGATTAAGCAGACTTTAAAATGAGAATATTTGGTTGGGTGATTAAAGGAAGTCTGTCAGGGCTCTCTCCGGAGTGTTTAGGGGAGATCTAGTTAAGAGGATATGTGTGTTTTTGTGCTTGCTTTCATTAGGACTAGCAGTTTTTGATAAAGGCGGATCAGAGTGGTCAAATGACCCACTTGTCCTTGTTTGTACAAAAGTTTTTGGTGATTTAGTCTTTGTAAGTTGTTGTCGAGGACGAGAGGGATGGCTGGTTCAGTAATCACTTAGCTGAGGGGGTCTGTGCTCTGTGGTTGGTTTGATGGGTAAGCAAGGCACATAAACATAATTACATTTTTATGGTAAGTATTGCCATACATAAATTCCCAAATTTAGGAGTTGAGTTTGGGAAGAAGGCTAGAAAGGACAGCACTACTGGTAAAATAGCGAATAGTTTAATATCTTGAGCATTGTTATAATAGTGTTAAATATACTGCAATATTTGAGTTACTTTTCAAAAATCTTTGTGCTGATTTCTGTGGTTCAGACTTGTGGTTCCACTTGTGATGTGGAAGTAAGGTTGCCATTCATGTCCTGGGTGGAAGTTTTAGTGGTATTATGAGGATAGAGTAATTTAAAGGAAGTGTCACTTTGGAAGCATTTTGGGTCTTGTGTTTAAAACTGCTTCAAGTGGAATGAATGTGCTTTCACAAACAAGGGTGTGTGCTGCAGCAGACAAACTTCAACAAAGTGGTGAAACTGCAATTTCAAAGCTGATTTTTGTTCTGGAGCTCATTTGTGTCCAAGGGTGAATTGGGATCCCTTTGTTCTAAGTGGGCACAAGCAGATGTTTGTTCAACATTCACACTGTGCTCATCAGTAAATAGTGGCCACTTAAATATGATTCCTGCCCCATATAGACAGTGTGTGTTCACTCTTGGTGATCATTATGCAGCACTTGCTGAATGGAGGAACCTACAGGTCACACATTTATGTCCATGTGACCACTCAGGGAAAAATCCTGGTTGAGGTTGTTAAATGCACTTCTAAAGCCCAGTCATGAAAGCCTACAACTTACAGAAATGGAATATGCAACTGTTTTTGGAAAGGGGGTGCTATCTAAAGTCAGTAGTGGTATCATGCAAAAGAAGCTCTGAGCTATAAGTGGTTTTGATCATTTTAAGTTTTAACTGTAGAAACTAATGTTTGGGATTTAGTTTTTTAATTTTTGGGGTGTGGGAAAGACTTCAAAATACAGACATAACAGCACCTCAATGTTTTTTGTTTTTTTTTTTTTTTTTTTTTTTAAAGAAAAGGTTAATGATTAGTAAAATAGTACAAAATAGGTATTGGAAATACAAGTTGGTGTTAATTTGATGACATTGTAGCATAACAGCTGACAAAATTAGATAGTTTTGGTTTTGAGGATGCAGATTAAAGTTTAAGTCCTCTGTAAAGGTGTGTTGCAGGACTGAGAATGAAATGTGAAATGTCTGCCTTGGCTGAACATTTAAATGTATTTGATGGAAGGAAGGTAATTTGTCTGTTGGACAGCATGTATGGACTTCTTGGTCATTTATAATCTTTAAAGCTTTGGGGACATACTGGTATGATTCTTAAGAATAAAGCATTCACAATACTTTTGTTACCAGATGTGTTGGTGCAGCAAAGCTTTCTAAGGGTGAAGGTTAAGGCTCTTTTGGTGTTAGGTTTCACAGACTAGAAAGTTTTCAAGTGATGGTTGGTGAGCTCTCTGGGAGTAATTCACAGTTGCATAATAGTTGGCAAATTCTTTAGCTAATCAGCCTGATTCAGCCTGATTCTAATTCTATAATGGCTGCATGTTGAAACATGAGAAGAGGGGGGTGTGCTAAGTGATGAGGGGACTTGAGGCCTCATAGTTGCTCATTGATAAGGCAATGGTTCCCAAACTTTGTTCCAATTTTACATACAAAAACAAAACCAGAGGAAACACTGAATATTGAGTAACATAATCTTAAAGGGTGAGTACAGACAGGATGGAGGCTTTCTCTTCACAAGGAGCCGTGTGGAGAAGACAAGGGACGATGGCTACAAATTGCACCAGGAGAGGCTTCACTTGCTACTGGAAAGACTTTTCAGGGAGGATAATCAGTCACTGAAAGAATTTCCTCAGAGCATGAGGGAACCTCTGTTACTGGAGGCTTTCAGGATATGTTTGGGTAGGATGATAGGTAAACTATCTCATCTAGGCTCCCTTTTTCCTGGGAGACCAGGTGGTGTTGGAGGAATCCTTCAAACCTGGACTATTATGTGATTTAATGATCATATAAGATAACAGCCATTTTGTATAGATGCTGATTTTTTTTCATGATATTTACTGCAGTCAGTGTGCAGCTTAATTTCAGTCTCATTTAGGGAGAGATGGTTACAGGGTAAACAAACCATGTCCAAAACAAAGTAAGGAGCGCCTTTTCATTGTCTACTATACTGCAGTAAGGGAAAATTATTGTGAATTTTCTTCCTTTCAGATTAGTTTACTTGTGATGAACATTAGTGGCCTAGAAGACTTTGGGTGGAGATGTCCTTGGGTTGTGAGTCATGACACGGGATGGAGTGGAGGAGGAGTTGGAGAGGGTCCCATTGACAACATGTGTCCCTTCCTGCTGGGAGTCCTGTACCGAGAGTATCAGAATGGGTGTTTCTTTACCTCTGGGGCTGTCCTGGGCTTCATGTCGTTTGAGCATGTATGAGGTTTGCTGTTGCACTCTCAGCAGTGCAAGGGCTTTAGAAGTCTCTTGTGAAGCAGTTGATACAAAGTGGAGAAAAGCTGATACTACTGGCACAGCACGTGTGGTACATTCTGTGTGTTGTGGGTCACTTTCCAAGGATGTAGCAGAAATTGTCTAGTGTTACAAATTCAGTTGAACTTACTGTGCTTCGGACTATTCAGCAGTGGCATCCAGGGGCTTCTTCATTTGTGCCTAGGTGGTGCACACACTAAAACTCCAAGTCTTAAAGGCCTATAGAGTTTACAGTTCATGAAATAATATGCTCAGGGGTGTACCAAGGACTAGTGCCCTTGTGTTATACTTAGTGTTGTATTAAGAACTATGCCAAGAAACAGTGCTGCCTTAATGTGCTTGAGGCAGGGACATGTCCTTTAAACAGAGCAATTTTTAATCTCTCTGCTTTTTTGACAAATTTTCAGTCTTCTGAATGTTTTTTCTTTTCAGGTCATCTGAAAGAAACATAGTCTTAATATCAGTTGTTTTTACAAAAGTCAGGCCAAACTTTATTGTATCAAATATTAAACCTCAGATTTTAGGTCACATAGAATTTGTTGTCCAGAGTTTAGGATTTTGGCTGACATAGGATTGACCAAAAATCTCCAAGTTAGTGATGTGATTCCTCTGTTATGTTGTAATGCAGCCTCAGTTATAGTTAAAACTTCTGGTTACTGTGAAAGATGCTGAAGAGTTTATGGAGAGTTGCAGTTTCATCAGTGTCCAAATCCATTTGGGAACCAAGCTCATGTGGATTTCATTTAGACTCTCAGCCTTCCTTTGCTGTTCAGCATTTGTAAAACAAGGACTGTGGCACTTACAGTTTTCCAAGGCAAATATATTTTTTAGTTCCATCAGACTTTGAAAGTAATTATTTCTTTATTTTAAAATTATTATTTTTATTTTTTAATATTTAAATTTTTATTGTAAGTTGGTGCTGTTTGGTTTAGATGTAGGTTATTAATTAAATAGAAAAGGCCCTATTTCTTTCAAGCATTTATTAGAGAATTTCAGTTACAGGCAGCATTTAATTAGTTCTAATCTTGCATGTTGCTAGTGACTTGCTTTGCATGCAACCTCTGAAAAAAAGTTGGTTTTGAGGAGATAAAAAAGAATTTCTCTCCTGTAGAACTTACTTTTCTTTGCTTTTTTTCTTTTTTTTAGGAGGCTAAACTGTCTATAGTAATGTTTTGGAAACAAAACATGAAATACTCTAATTGGGGAATGTGTTAGGCAATTGTTAGTCTATTATAAATACTTAGTCACCAGGTACTTAAGGCTTCTATGAGTAATTGTTTACCAATATCAAGGCTGCCTGATGTCTGTTCCTGAACACATAAACTAAACTGAGTGTGGTGTATTTGTCCAATGTGGTAGTAAGACTGAATGTGATTTTTGGGATGGTGTAGAAAGGTTAATTTTTTTTGTAGTAAGTGGGACTGGATTTGTTGTGGGCTTTGTGAAGTGCTGTGTTTATTGCACAGACTTGGATTCAGAAATTCTTGTTGACCTCGTGGGTTTTTCCCTGCCAGATGCTATCAGGATTCATTACCAGAAGTTTTTGTTCAG